ATGGCCAAGAGCTCTGTGATCGTGGTCTCACACAGGCAGGGAGTATGCCTTGCACCACGCTCCGTGCCAGGCCCCGAGCTCCTCTGCCAAGCCATGTGCACAGACATGAGCCTCACATGGACACGTCAAGAACTGCAATTTGGAGTCACAGAATGGAAGGCACCTTAAAGCTCATCCAGCCCCAACCCCTGCCGTGGGCAGGCTGTTCCTCACCAGCTCAGGCTGCCCAGGGCCCATCCAACCTGGCCTTGGGCACCTCCAGGGATGGGGCACCACAGCTCTGGGCAGCACTGCCAGGGCTTCACCACATTTAGAATCAACACACACATTCCCTCAAGAGCTCTCAAATTCATACTGCTAGTACTTCTGACCAGAATGTAAGCCACTGTGAAGCACAAAGGAAATTCAAAATATGGTTTGTTATTACAGTAATAGTTGCATAAAGGCTGTTTATACAAATTATGAGCATAATCACAGTTTCAGGACAGTTAGCTCAAGGTGAATCGCCCATCTATCTAATCCTTTAATAACATGCTTGGAATGCAATTTGGAAATTCCCCTCTGATAAAACAGTCATGCTGCCTGCATCGTGACCATTTTTCAACACTTGTTACCATCAAGCATTTCTGTCTTTTATAAAGAGCAACGTTTTGATTAATACACAGAATAGAGCATTACAAATACAACCTTATTTCTGTTCTCGTTTTATATATTTGTGCGTCCTCCCAGCTCTCTTTGGAGCAAAAAGTGATAGCCAAGCTATTAAATAGCAGAAAAGAGATGCGCTTATATCAAATATGCATAAAACCTTAAAGGGTAGGACTGCTACAGGAACCGATTTAATAGTCTCAAGACCTAATTTCAAGCCCAAAACTCTTCCATGGCTCTTCGGCAGCTGATGACAACCAGAAGTTAAAAATGAAAGCAGCTGTTCTTCAGTGAAAAGCACGCTGCAACAACACGGACACGCTGCCCTGCAAACTGCCCCTAAGGTGACACGTAGGTCCTGTGCCCTCTGCCAGGAATGCGAGGAACTTTGTGACTCTCTGAGCCCCCCTGAGCTCGCTGAGCCAACGCGGTTCCAAGTGACCGGCATTGTTTCCTGCTGGTGGGCAACAGCTGTAGAAACATCTCTAAAATGGCTGGCATGGCCCCACCAGCCCCGGCTCCACCTATCACTGCTATGCCCATGTGGCCCTCACCTGCCAAGCAGATCGTTAGGACTTCATGGCATCCCTTCCATTCGTGTACAAGATAACCCCAGTTAAGGCAACAGAACTTCTTCTTTGCCTCAGCCTATTCCAAAGAGCACCTCGACAAGCATCTCTAGATCCTTTTTGCATCTCTGGCAATCTTTACGTTTGTAATATGGTTCAGATGTGGAAATGAGCAACATCTCACCTCAGACGTGTTCCTCTGCATATTTTTATATAAAGATGATGTAAAACCTTGATCTACAGACCACGACAATGTCAGCACAGCTTCACGTGCTTGGATGGAGCTCTGCAAGTTGGCACAGCTGAGGAGTCAGATCTCTTCACCTTTGAGCATCTCAGAGAAAGAAAATCTGGTAGCATTATAAAAAGAATACAAGGGTCCTTCTTTCATTGCCACACAAAATGAAGAACGTGGTTGTGAATTCATTAGCGATCTGGCTGATAGTCAGTACTGCACAACAGTTATTTCACCACTCGCCTGGGCCATATATATTTAAATCTTCGTCAGAAACATTTAATCCACTATGAAGTCATTATATTCTTGTTTGTCTCGCTTATGATGGGAACAGATGTCTAAAGATAACTTGCATCTTTCAGGTCCCCATGGCAGATTAAAGCATTACTACCCATTTTTCACATCTCTTACTTAAATCAGGTGATCTCTGTAACTTTTTACGCTTGCAAATACATGGAAATAACACGAGAAGTCATACAAGACTGAAAAACATGAATCTCAGTGACGTGCCAAATGGACTGTATTTTATTATTATTATTATTATTGCCTTTTTTACTTGTGTTTTATGCAAGCACACCTTCCTTGGAGCCACATCCTGACCAGCAACAAAGCTACTTGACACACTCCAGCAACGCAAAGCTGCAAAGCTGGCTTAGCGGGCCAGCTGGGGTCAGGGAATCCCCCCGTGGTGTATCTGCTATGCCACGTCCTCTGCACAGACCAATCCTGGAGAACAACCATCGCACCCTGCTTCATCCAGCGCCTGCAGGGCAGCCCTCCTTCCCCAGGCAGCAGTGCACTCCGGGCTAAGGGAGCCTTCTCCCAGCACCGAAGCTCAGGGGGGAACACACAGACCTGCTTCCTCTGAGCATGGGCCACGCAGACCTAATAGTTGGGGCCAGGGATTTCAGCTGCGGTCCAGACGTGATGGCAGAATCGCATCTCGCAGTCTTTGAGAGCTGAACAGATGCCAGGCTCCTAGCGCACATCAGAAGCTGGCAGGTATTTTTCCACAAATGAGGTAATCCACTGGCCTTTTTAAAAGCACAATGCACATCATAGGCCTGAAATCCACACATGCTGAAAGGTCATGGCTTGAGGTAGTCCAAACTTTTTGTTCTGGACCTCATTACTCCACAACATTTCTGCTTTTCTCTTACCAAGCACCTTGCCAAGTCCCTGCAGCCACAGCAGGAAGCACCCAGAGAACAGCTATTTCAGGCCCTCCTTTTCTACAGCAGGTCCCTGCAGTGCTGAGCACAGCCACCAGCTGACTCAGAACATTACAGCCCTGCTGCAAACCTTAGGCCCCTGTGCTTCCCTGCGCCATCCCATCTAGAAGCTATCCCACTCATCTCCTCCTCATAGGAAACTAATTCAGGCATCACAGGTTTTAAGTTTAAATGGCTTACGCCAATGGCTAAAGCCACATGATCAGGTTCTTAAGTTGACAAAAGACTGAAAGTCAAACGTGCTTATTTTTACCCTTAAACAAAACCACGTGCAGCCTGCAGTGGTAAACCACTGCATGTTTTAATATCCAAATTCCAATTGCTTGCATCCATCACCATGCTCCAAAATCCCACACCCACCAAGCAGCCGAGGCATGTCTGAGGCTCTGAGCTCATCTCACCGCCCTGACAAGATGAATGGGAGGATGCTGCTCCTAACCTACACAAGGACACAAACCCACCTCATTTCCCAGTCAGAACAGCGAATAGCGCATGAACAGCTTCCTCAAGCTGAGCTGCAGGGTTTGTGCTACATTTCTGTAGCTTTTTTTCTTCCAGGTTTTTCTTCTTTTTTTTTTCCTTCTAGCTTTTTTCTTCTTACCTGCATTCCTGCCCTGCCCTTGGTTAAAGGCTTGAGAGGGACCACAACGTTCTTGAGATGCAAACAGAATACATAACCAAAAGGATCTTCCTGAACCCTGAGTCTGTAATCAATTTTTAGGAAAGCATTTGTGCTAAAATGAGGTAAGTGATAACTTTCCACATCTCCTGTTATCCACAGTACTATTTTAGGGAGAGTGAGACAGCATCCGTGCTTGTCGCATAGCCCTGCTTCCAATCTCTGGCAGATGCCCAGCACATTCCGGTGCGTAATGCACAGCGCTCGTTGCGGCACAGTCCCACTAATCTCTCAGACACATTGACTAAGACTTTCCCACATAAACTGGCCCACCCTTTACTAGGGAGAGGTCGCTCAGTACAGTCAGCCTTCAGATGAGAAAAACAATCAGAAAAATCTTCTCTGATGCCAAAAACATGGAAGAGTAAAACGCAAGAGGCGCCAGCCTTTGCTCTACCAGAACTCACAAAGACGAGATCTTTGCTACAAACCACAACAGCTCCACCAACATCAACCAGAAGTTTCTTTCACATTTAGGATCCGGCCTCCTAACAGCATTTCAAATTGCAATAAAAACGTAGTACTCTAAATGTAGCATTAAAAAATTCCCATATGGGAGTGCCCGCTGACTGCCATAGGCAGATCCAGGCTCAAAGAAGCACACCAAAAGACCGCTCAATTGGTAGCAAGAGGCAGAACGTGCTTTCTCCAGACTAAGATAATCAGCTTCATGCTGCATTCCAGCAGTGCTACAAATGGATTTGCTGGTAGCATACCGGAGCCATGAGCTGCCCATCAGCGCAAAGCATTCCATCCACAGAGACTGGCTGGAAATCACCCTGAAACACTCAGCTATATCACCAAGAGAGAAGTTGGTGAGAGCCCTTGGGAAGGAAATCTCACGGTTAGTTTACCTACAGACAAAAGCCAATGCTTTCCAACTCAGATGCCCAAACAAAAACCTGGAGGTGTTACAATAAACTCAACTACATCAAGTCAAAATAGATCCAGCAGGCAGCACCCTTTCCCCTTTGAAGGCAAAAAGAAGAGGAGCCACTTGCTTTAATTAGCAGGAGCGTTTGTGGCATCTAGGCGCTAAACGAGATCCACAAAATGAGCAGAAAAAATAAGCATTTGGTCACATTGCACAGAACAGTACGATTTGCTCTGCACTGCTTACTGCAGTAACCACAAATTATCGCCACTGCAAACCGGGCTGCAGAGCTGCCCAGCCAGCACAAGCAGTGCCCTCCGAAACAAAACACCCAGACAGCTTTTTGCTCTTCTCAGCACAAGGCCCTCTTTCATCATGCCAAAGTAGGAACCAAAAGCAGACACTCTGTGCCACTCCATAATAAATCAACCAACAGCAAGATAGAATTAATTCCAGATAGCGTAACTCACAGGAACCGAATATCCAAGCAGATCTGAATGACTGCCGGGCTGTCGAGAGTCTCACAACACCCTGCAGAAGACCTTGAGGGTGTATGTAGGGCTGTAATGCTGCTGGGAGCCGAGACCTGCAGGGGAGAAGAGGGCCCTCCCAGAGATGCCTATTGGCTTGGCCCAGGAGAGGCTGCTGCTCCAGCTCAGGTTCAACAGTCAGTGTAACCTTATAGCCGAGCACACCCAGCTGGCTGCCCGGCCCCCAGCAAGGAGAAACCAGCTTAAAAAAAAGAAAAAAAAGAATTTGAGTGTCTGTAATCTGAAGGGATGAAGGCTGGGAGGGACCACAACCACTCACGAACACTGCACTCCTCAAGTTGGCTACTTCACATTTAACATCAGTGCTATCCGGTCATGAAGCAGTACAAAAAAGGGTTAGGTTGGATATTAGGAGGACGTTTTTCCCCCAGAGGGTGGTGAGGCACTGGAACAGGTTGCCCCATCCCTGCAGGCATTCAAGGCCAGGCTGGATGTGGCTCTGGGCAGCCTGGGCTGCTGGTTGGTGACCTGCACACAGCAGGGGGTTGGAACTGGATGAGCGCTGTGCTCCTTTGCAACCCAGGCCATTCTGTGATTCTATGAAAAAAACATGCTTTGTTTGCTCTAGGCTGCATCTCCTCACCCCAGTCACACCTCCCAGCAGTTAATGGCAGCCAAATGGGCTCTTTTTAACTATGCACACAACCACCCATCTCTGACAGACTGCACGCAGCCTGCCACAGCCCCATTGGCACAGGGGACCAGTGCTGCCCATCCTTCACTAAAGCTGTGCCAGGGATCGCTCTTCTCTCTCACAACAATACTGATTTGGAAATAACAAAATGATAGAGCGCGGTGGCTATTCCAATAATAAAACTACAATAAAACTAAGCTGACATGTCAGAAAATTCCTTGTCTGTGTTCCACGGACAACAGGTCAAGTGCCCAGCAGGTGCAGCTTCATGAGGCGGCCTCTTTTTCCCAAAAAAGAACAGTACACGATCTGCACTCCAGCAAACAGAAAAGCTACTTAATTTGGAACATTTACCTGTGAACAGATTCACAGCAGTGTATTTTTAGATGCCTGTGTATTAATGGCACACCTCTCCCGTTCCAATGGCACGAGTGGTATGGCCAGCTCGACTATTCACAGCACAAACATGTGTGTGTTAGCATCTGTTGGCACGAGGCTTTCATGCCTCTTTTGTTCACTCCTTGCTCTCCCCTTCACAAAGGATAAATCAAACCAACACACTGCCTCGTCTTGTAGCCCCAGTGCTTGGTGCCTTCAGGAGATGGTGAAATGAAGATGAGCACACAGCAGCACAACGCATTTCTCTGGCAGTAGTGGAAATAGTTGCATTTGTGCAATGAGAAGAGAAAGGGGAAACATCCTCAGGAGTTCACACTTAGCACCAAAAAATTTGTTCAGAGGAGGCACAAAAAATATTAATGGTGCAGAGAAAGAAGAGCTCAAGACACTCCTCAACCTTAACGTGTCCTTGGCCATACAAAGGCATTCCCATCCCTGAGAACAACTACAGAAACACAGATGCATTAATGTTGGAAAAGACCACTAGGATCACCTAGATCAGATGGCTGTATACCTTCTCCTATATAGTGAATAAGTAGAAAAGAAGTGAATGACTCTTTGTGAGGGTGGACAGTGATAGGACAAGGAGGAATGGTCTTAAACTGAGACAGGGGAGGTTTAGGTTGGATATGAGGAGGAAGTTTTTCACACAGAGGGTGGTGAGGCACTGGCACAGGTTGCCCAAGGAGGCTGTGGATGCCCCATCCCTGCAGGCATTCAAGGCCAGGCTGGATGTGGCTCTGGGCAGCCTGGGCTGCTGGTTGGTGACCTGCACACAGCAGGGGGTTGGAACTGGATGAGCACTGTGCTCCTTTGCAACCCAGGCCATTCTGTGATTCTATGAATAGTAGAAATAATGGCTTCAGCTGCAAGAGCATCCTCCCTTGCCATCTTTACCAGCTATAAGATTGGTCTGAACTCAACCACCAAGCAACAACACATAGGAAAGTTTTCCCCATGGAAAGTCAGGCTTTTTAATGAGAAATGGACAGTACCAATTGGATGTGGAATGAGCCAATAGATGAAAAAGAAATAACACTGGACAAATCAGGGTGGAAAAAGAGGACTGCTCAAATAGATAGAATTAATTGCATCACTCCATTAAATAAGATGAGACCTACTAAGATGAGCATAGAAACCAAAACCCTTACATGCAGAATCTCCATAACCTTCTTTTCACTGGAGGAAGGCAAAGCCTTGAAGGTCCAACTTTGGCTGCGGCAGCACTGTACCCTTGTTCATCAGAAAAACGATTAGCTACAGGTCATTTTAGGAGTAATAATCAAGATCTGGCAATGGAAACCGCATGTGGAAAAGCACAGCGCTGGGGAACAGCAGTCCTCAATGCGGACTCCTTGCAGAACAGCCTCTGCAGCTCGGTGCCATTTGACAGCGCACACATTTCACTCCAGCGCTTGCCTTGCCATGCAAGAGCTCCTTGGTGATGACCACCAGACACAAGGTGATTTCTAAGTTGTAAACACAGCAGAAAGCCAGAGAAGACAAGCAGATTTTCATACTGAAGAACTGCAGGCTAGAGTCCCCCCGGTTTGACTCGGGCACACGGCCACGAGCTCGCGCAGAGGGAAGGGCTGACTGCAATGGCACGGTCTGCAGCTCCATTGGTGGAGAGTGAACACACCAGCCTGTGCTTCAGAGCAGCCCCACACAGCCCTGTGCAGCGTGGATCACTGAGAGGCAGCCTGCTCTCAGGCCAAGTGTTCATGCTGTGTGATACAGCACGGAAAACAACCTGCAGCGCTCTGCTTCCCAACCCCTCATTTAACTGCAAGCCAAAACAGCCCCCAGTGCTGCCAACGGCTCCTCGCCCTGCTGAGCCCATCCACCTCCCACAGCCTGAGCACGGCTGACTGCAGTGGTTTTCCCAGAACCATGGAACAGCGAGCAGGAGAGAGGGAGGCCTGCAGCCAGGCAGCAGTCTGGGCTGCATTTTGGAGCTGACTCATGGGGAAGGGCAGCAGCGATCAGCTATTGGGCTGGATTTCCACTTGTGCCCAGATTGGATGACTAAGGAATTTAGGCACCTATAGCGATCAGCAGTCTGCATACCCTTTGCAGTGAGCCCTCAGCATCTGCGTAAACAGACCTCAGCCGCGTTCCACAAAATACTCCCCAAATATGTCCTCCTCACAAATGGAATACAACGCTGTAATCCAACTGCAAATATTAAATCCTGCAACTGACCCACATTAAAAATAAATCTCTCCAATAAAGGGGGTTTGACTGATGAAAATTCCTATACGTTGAAAGGAAAGCAGAGCATCTTTCACACAGCAGATCGGTATGCCGGCTGAAAGCAGCCCGGAGCAGCACCGGGGTCTCCATCTACGCAGCATCAGTGCTTTGCCCCCTCCGTTCCACCTCTGTGTGCAGGCGGTGCTCAGCAGCTCACGGCCACCCCGCAGCCGCAGGATTCACGCCACAATGGGGATGAAACGGCATTCGTAATGCTTTTTTTTTTTTTTTTTTTTTTTTTTGGCCATCGAAACAGCTGCAAGCTCCTATTTCATCCCCAAACGCCGCGTCCTGCTTTGCCGAGCAAGCGTCCTTTACCGCACTTAACCTGCATTACAGGAAAACGCCAAGCGATCTCCTCTCCTCCGAGCCGACCTCCTTCTCAGCTCCGAGCTGACGCTCCAGGATGCGATAACGAAAAGCGCCCCCCCCCGCTCCGCGCCGGCTCTGCCTCGTTACGCAGCCGCGAGCCCCCACCTTCACCCCTCTCCCCCCCCCCCCAGCCTCCGGGCACCCTCCAGCCGAGGCTCCGCAATGGCCCGCGCAGCTCACAACGCGATGCCGGCATCGCCCCGGCTCGGATCTTTGTTCCGCGGCCGTCATTGAGGACAATGCACACCCGGGGCCGAACCGGCGACGGGATTTGTTTTATTCCCGACACCGGCGAGCAGAGCTCCCGACTCATTTCCGAACGCTGCACAGCCGGATAAAGGACGGTCGTTCCGCCTCGGGCTCGTCTCGCTTCAAACACGGAACGCGGAGGCTTTCTACCTAAGGACGGCGCCGAGCGAGCGCGACCCTACGGCGCCCGGCGCAGCCTGCCATGTTTCCCCCCGCAGCCGTCCTCCCTCCGCCGCAGCGCCGGGCCGTCTCGCACACGGCGATGCGAGGCCGCCCGGCCCGGTATTCGCAGGTACGGCCCGATGCCCGCAGGTACGGCCCGGCAGCACAAAGCCCGCAGCGCCCGCCCGGCCCCGCCCGCGCCCCGCGCCCCGCCCGTGCCGCAGCGCCATCCCGGGCGCGAACCGCACCGCGGCTCTGGACGGACCAAAATAAGACGCGCGGCGGCGGCGGTCCCTCGGCGGGGCGGCGGCCCCGGGGCGAGGCGAGGCGAGGCCGCGGCGGGGCGGGGCGGCTCCGCGCTGACAGCTGCCGGGCGCGGGGCCCGGGCCGCTCGGCTCTGCGGCGGGGAGGAGAGAGAGGCTGCGGCGGAGCCGCCAGAGGACCGCCGCGGCGGAGGGACGCCCGCGCCGACGCGCGAGCCCGGCCGGCCCTACCTCTGTGCTGCCCGCGCGGCGGCTCTCCCTGCTCGGCTGCGGCGCGGAGTGACCGGCGGAGCCCGCAGCCCCCGCGCTGCGCTGCGCTGCGCTGCGCTCCGCCCGCACGGCCGCGGCGGCGGCGAGGGGCGAGGGGCGGGGCCGAAGGGCGGGGCCGAGGGGCGGTCGGGCGGTGGGGCGGCGCCGAGGCGCGGTCCCGGCCCTGCGGAGGCGCCGAGCGGCAGCGCTGCGGAGCCGGCAGGTGGCCCCGACGCGGCCCCGGCCCTCGCCGTTCTCCTTACGGTTATCTGGAGGCTCCCTCGCCCTGGGCTTCACGCTCCTCCTCCTCCCCCTCGCCGCTCTGTCCTATCGCGGAGACGATGTTGGCTCTCCCCTGGCATCCGCTTCCTCCGGCGCCGCGCTCCCGCTGCTCTGTCATTCCCCGTGGGAAGCCCGGCCCGGCTCTCGCTTCCTCCGCTGCGGATCCATCCCCTGCGTCGGCCCCGCCGCCTTCCCACGCAAACAGCCGCGCCCGGTCCCTGGATCTCCAGTCCTGTGCCGCGCTTCCCCTCTGCCCTTCTCCGTGCGGCCTCGGCCCACCCCCGTCCCCTGCCGCCCTTTCCTCCTTCCCTCTTTCCTCCCGGCTCCCTCAGTGCTGCTTGCAGCCACCCGCCCCGAGCCCACCCTCGGCTTTCCCTTATCTGGCTCCGACGCTCAGCCAAGGTTCGTGACATCCACTTCCTGGCCTGGTCTCTGGAATACTGCTTCGTTTCCATCGTGACACCGTTATCAGCCCTGCTCTTTGGGATGTTTTTCTCTCCCTCCGTTTCCAGGGCTGCCTTCCCCCGGTCCCCTCCTTGCACCCGGTTCCCCAGCCAGTCAGTAACTGTCATCATTCCCTCTGTACTCACAGCAAGGCGAACCCAGCCCATAAAACTAAAACACATAACACATGTATTCAGAAAGAGCCTGTCCATTTGGGATCTACCTCTCCATTTGGGAGTTATCTTACCCCAGTGAAAATCTTAGCCTGTCTTTCCAGCCAGCCATTCCTTCAAAGCATACAAAAGAGAGAGCCTCTAACCTACTATCAAGCAAGCCTGCCACGTTTGTCATGCAGCTCGCTGCCCTGAACACCCTGCTCAGCTGGGCTTTCCCCCTTTATTTGCCCCTCTTGTGATGCTCTCATGCAGACTCCCACCATCTCACTTTGGTCCTGCCGTTAGCTTGCCAACTGTACGTAACCTCACACCTTCTCATGTTCTCAAGTCCTTTCAACTTGGGAAAAAATCCCTATTCCCTTGAAAATATCCTACCATTGTCAAACCTACACGAGTTTTGACCAGAGTCACACCCACATCTGCTGACTGTGGTGTTCCATACCTAGTGCTGGGAACACAGCAGCTCAGTCAACTTGTGCAAGTGTTGAAAATCGGCCACGTTTGTGTTCTTCGCTTGTGCAACATCTTGGAGGATCAGAGCTCACGATCAAGGTTTCTAGGCAAATACTAGGAGGTACCTGCGTCTATGCAGTGAGAACACAGCAGTTTGGCAGTGGTAGTGAAAACATAAAATGAGCCTTTGTTCAATTAACAACCTTAATAATTCCGCCACAAGTATTTCTCATCCACCACTGTAACAAAGGACAAGTCAATCACTTCAGACACTTGAGGAATTTCGATACACAAAGAAAAAAATGAAAACACCTTGTCCAGACCTTCCTGAATGCCCCCACCAGTGGTAGTGAGACAGGATCTGCGCTGCTCCTGAGCAAAATGTTCATTGAATCTGCCCCAAGGAACATGAAAAATCCTACTCTTCGAATTACGTGGACTGTATCTCAAAATATTTCACAGATCAGAATTTCCATTAACCCAGGAAGGCTTCTGCTCTTGGAAAAAAGCTGGATAACTTGGCTATGGACAGAAAACTAGCAAGTGCCTGCGTGTACGTGCTCTACAATGCTTCGGGCTTGGAAGGATAATGCTCAGCTGAGTTTTGATCCAGCATGAATGAAGCTTTTACTTCAGCCATCAGCAGCAGGAATTCAGAGAACCCAATGATGTACACATAATAATTACAAATACAAAATTGTTTGACCCCTTGGAAGTTAAGAAACATTAGAAAAATACATCTTCCACTCAACTATTAATATCTCTCATACAGGTAGGTAGGAAAAAAAAGATCATAATAGATGGGAATGAGCGAGAATGTTCAGTGCATTTAAAGATTCTGTCTGTCTTAACCCACATAGCTCAAAAATGGGTGGGCCATTGATTATCATGGAAATAACCGGGTAGGAATGAATGCCTGAAGAAGCAGAAACCAGAATA